GAAATTTGAGGGAGGGAGAGAGGAAGGAAATTTGAGGGACAGGGGAGAGGAAGAAAATTTGAGGGATGGGGGAGAGGAAGGAAATTGGAGAGGAGAGGAAGGAAATTGGAGGGGGGAGAAGGAAATGAGAGGGAGGGGGAGAAGAAGGAAATTGGAGAGAGGGAGGGAGGGGGAGAAGAAGGAAATGGAAGGGAGAGGGGGGGGAGAAGGAAATTGACGGGGGGGAGGGGGAGAGATTGACATCCACACACACACACACAATGCATTACACACAGACACATACACAAGCAATGCATCCCTTACACACAGCAACACACAATGCACCCCTTACACACACTCAGTGCATCCCTTACAGACGCACACACTGCATCCCATACATACACAAACTCACCTTGCAGCCCTTACACATACAAACACAGATTCACACAATGCATTCCTTACACACATCAGGACATCCCCCACACACACACTCCACCCCTGTGAACAAACTCATTGGTGGAACATGAAGGTGGACCCTGGGACCCAGACCTTGAGCTGTGTAAAGGGCCCTCAAAAAAATGGAGCTGCTTCCCGTTCTCCCAGAACATTGATTTTTGTGACCACAGTTACAAACCGCCTCCAGAGAGCCTGTTCTACACCAGACCAGTGGAGCCAGACGGCAGCTAGAGCCCATCATCATCCTCATCTGGTTGTAAGTAGGCAATCTAGTATATTATTTGTGGCACTAATCTCTAATTTACCTCACATTAAAGGGACACTATAGTCCCCAGAACAACTGCAGCTTAATGTAGTGGTTCTGGTGTCTATAGCCTGTCCCTGCAGGCCTTTTATTGTAAACACGGCGGCACTGCAGCACTGTGTTAGTTAACATGGCAGATCATATGGGTGGGGCATTGTGATGTCACATGGGGGGCGGCAAACTTTACTTTTGCCTAGGGCGGCAAAAATCCTTGCACCGGCCCTGCAGACACTGCATCCCTGTGGGCGGACTCGGGGGGAGAGGGGGTCTCGGGTGCAGGCACCGGGGGGCCCAGACCTTGAGCTGTGTCAGGGGCCCCAAACTTTCTGATGGCAGCCCTGATAGATACTGCATATAAATAGAACCCTGCCAAGATTGCTAAAGAGCAGGCAAAGCATCATACAATTTGTAGGGCACTGAGGATCTACCCTATGGCCACCTTTGATCTGCAGGTGGGGGCCTTAACAAATTCTTACACTGGGTCCCTGAGTGGCCAGGTACTCCCCAGACTGTGGTAGAAGGAGCTCCAGTAGCAGTAGCAGTATTGCAGCATGAAAAAGACTGAGAAACATCCTCCTGAGTGCTACATCAGCCATAATGGAGATGCCGCAAACCCCACAATCCTGTAGCTAAATATTAATAATAGAGTTGGTAGTAGTTCTTGGTGGTAGATGTAGTGAATAGGAGGTGTTAGCAGTACTCATGGCTGAGGAGGAGGTGTTCACACGCCAATAGAACATGGCACTACTGCTGATGGTGGGTTAGGGAACATGACCCCTTCCCCTTCATTGCCCCAATTTCTGTTTGGAATCAGGACATAACATTTTTGTTAAAATAAATTTAGTATACAAATGATTGTGCATTTTGTGAACTAACACATCATTGTTCTGCAAAAATAAGTGTTTGTGTTGCAAATTTCCTCCAAACAGTTAACAAAAAAAGCCTTTTAACAACTGTGACTGGTAAGCTAGTATTTTCATATGGATCATTGACAGAATGCCTGCCAATCTCCTATCTGCTACTCAAAGTTGTTTCAAGTGCTCCTGTAAGCAACTGCCAACTAGATAAATCAGAAAACTAAAACTAGTCTTACTCTAGAATCAATGACCTACGCTAGAAAATAGGAACTTTTCCTTCCTTTGTTACTGAACACCACAGTCCCCAAAAAAAGATTTTCTTTCATTCAAACAGTTAACAAAAATAACTTTTAACAACTGAATACTGGTAACTAGTGATGTCCCGAACGGTTCGCCGAACGGTTCGCCGCGGACTCATCATTGAGTAAACTTTGACCCTGTACCTCACAGTCAGTAGACACATTCCAGCCAATCAGCAGCAGACCCTCCCACCTCCTGGACAGCATCCATTTTGAAGCTGCATTCTTAGTGAGCTGTCCAGGAGGTGGGAAGGTCTGGGAGGGAGGGTGTGCTGCTGATTGGCTGGAATGTGTCTGCTGACTGTGAGGTATAGGGTCAAAGATTACTCAATGATGAGTCTGCGGCGAACCGTTCGTGGCGAACCGTTCGCGAACCGTTTGGGACATCACTACTGGTAACCCAGTCTCACACTAGGAACAATTACAATATGGCAATCTCCTATCTCCCACTCATAGCTGTTTCGAGTGCTAATGGCAAGAGCTGATACCTAGATAAAGCAGAAAGCTAACGCCAGTCTCACACTAGAGTTAATAATCATAAGATTTGTGCTACTTCTTGTTTGGACAGTAGATGCAGTCCATGATAGGGCAGAACTCTTTTTTCCACCAAGGAAAACTAAACTGATTATATGCCCCCACCCAAAAAAACAAAAACAACCTCTTCTTCATTCTATGCTCTTTTTTTCTGATGCTTGAACTGACTTTAGAACTGAACCTAAAATGTTAGGGGTTTAAAATTCAGAATTTTTGGTAGTCAGCCATTCAACTGAAGTTGTGCGAATTGCAGTCTAGTCCTAAACGAATCTATAAGCCTACTATATGTTTCTCTGTCTGACTATCTATCTGTCTGTAAATATATCATTATTAATAGTTGTTGTACTGATCGGGTGTGTGGCTAACTGCTGAGCGGAATGGACGTCCAATCCTTAGCTCCGGTGAACAGGGTCTACAATCCATCACAATACTGGAATCTAGGGCGCTATATGCTCACCTATGCTCACTATGGCTCAAGAAAAAAGTAAGAAGAACCAAGATGGCGAGAATTAACTTCTTCGGCCATAAGCAGCAAAACAAGCAGTCAGAAACTCAGGCATTCTCTCAAGATGGCGGCACCAGTTCTGATAGTACCAACTTCAGGCCATCCATGGAGAACCTGACAAACTTACCAAAAGCCACTTACAAGCAGCACTTGATGCACTTTCTCAAAAGCTTATAACAACTTTGCAACATTCTATGGATTCGCTAAGGAAAGATGTACAACAACTTGGCAAACAAACCTCCCATATGGAATCCAAGATGGATGAATTTGCCTCTGCTCACAATGATTTAGCCATGCATGTGGAACAAATGGAGCAAAAGCTTACAGATACGGACGTGAAACTTGCAGATCTTGAAGACAGGGCGCGACGGAATAACCTACGCTTAAGGGGAATGCCAGAAACCACACTGCCTGAAAACTTACAGGCCTATGTAAGAGGCCTTCTTCAAGCCTATGCTCCAGAAATACCAGCAGATATACTAATCATAGACATTGACTCCCGCTCCCTTGATTCTTAGCAGCTCCGAGAGATGTGTTGATGTGAGTCCACTACTGCAATATTAGAGAGCATGTACTCTGGGCAAGCCGGAATAAAGCAAAACCACCAGAGGATTATCCAAGTGTTAAAATCTTTGCAGATCTTTCGGCTTCTACCCTGCGCAAGAGAAGAGAATTCTCCAAAGTTGCAGACACGTTGCGGGCGCATAGCATCAGGTTCTGTTGGGGATTCCTGACCTAAATTCTGGTATCCAGAGAAGGATCCATACAAGTGATCTCCTCACAGGAAGATGGTCTCTGCAAGCTGCACTCTTGGAGTGTTATGGAGCAGCAACCGGAACCCCGTACCTCACCTTCAGGCCACCTGCAGCTAGAATGGAGCAGAGTTTCCTCGACAAGAGACGCACGATAAAGGAATGCAAGTATATCTATGTACGTACAACCTGCCATACACATGAATAACCAATTGACTCTGCCCACACCTTAACTTGAACCTTTACTGGCATGCTAAGCCCATGGCTGACCCAGTTACCATACAAGTCGCAACACCTTACTAAACCCCTTGGCGATGGTGATATCGGGGTACATTTTACCCTTTACTAAACTCTTATCTATGGCACAATGTCTGAGAGGCCCTGCACCTACAACATGCTCATAAGGCTATCTTGACCTGTCTAGGTCTTTCCCAAATGAGCAGTAATGTATACTATACTTGGTGTTCCCATAGTACCTTAGCTGGGGTTGTGTGGCTTACTCCATTAGATTATATAAGAAGTAAATTCGATGTTGGTTGTATTTAACCTCCTCTGAAATTGTATATAGTTCACGATGATACACTATAGCTACTCTCATATTACTAAACATGCAGTGTGATTTATTAGCACACAACAATATATTGAGGAACTGCTTCCACTGAGGCTGTCCACTCACTTTGCCCTATCAGGCTAGACTGATCCAATAAGACCCATAGCCACGTACACGGAGACGATAGGTTTCAAACCCCATGGTACCACAGCTTGGTATCACACCCCCAGTTGGGGTTTTTTGTAAATATTTTGTTTATGTTTTCTCCCAGGTTCTGTACTTCCCTTCCCTTTCCGGTGTCCCAACATGACAATATACTGGTGGCCCAACACAACTCGTATCCCAAAGCATAATCTACAAGCCAGGCTATCTTCAGCCCACAAATCATACATACAAATACTGAGAAGGTACCTGAAGTACCACTATGGGATAAAGTGAAACAGAATCTTAAACTTCCCATTTTATGAAGATATAATCTCATAATGTTCGGGGGCTGAACACCCCACATAAATGATGGGTTCTTTTAAACACTGTAAAAAGAGAAAGCGTAGATGTAATATGTCTGCAAGAAACCCACTTTGTTCATGGCAAAGTACCAACCTTTGGGACGCAAGATTATGCAACTCAATACGATACTACCTACTCTTCCAAAACTAGGGAAGTGTCCTTTTTATTTCACAAATCCCTTACGTTTGAACTTTTACAGATTAAAAAAGATCCCCAGGGACGTTACCTCATACTGCATTGTATCAATAATGTAATATACACATTAGTGGGCATATATAGCCCAAATAGCGAACAGCGTAACTTTTTACACAAGATGCTAAATAAAATTCCCACACAAAAATAATGACCTCCCTGTTAATATGTGGAGATCTTAACCATGTTCTGCACCCACATATGGACACAACATTATCTACATTAAACCCTTGGTTTAAATCACTAATACCTCAATGCAAGGCCCTTACCAAACTAATATCGGAATACGGATTATATGATATATGGCGCACTCATCATCCCAATGAAAAAGGATATGCATACTTCTCCTCAGTTCATAAAACACATTCAAGAATAGACATCATACTAGTATCGAGAGATATGATGCCTTTGGTTGAAGGCTGCCATATTGGAAATATCGTGTGGTCGGACCATGCTCTGATGTCCCTTAAGCTCCAAGATGCATTTAAATATAGAGAGAAGGCTCTATGGTGCTTGAATAATACTCTGTAGTGCGATATAGAATTAGGGCTAAACTAGAAAATGACATACAATCTTACTGTTAAACCAATACATCTCCTGAGCTCTTGCCTACCACTACATGGCAAGCCCACAAGGCAGTTATTAGGGGACTGCTAATCAGCAGGGCATCCTACATTAAACCCTGTACCCAGGATAAATACCTCATTCTCCTTAGCACTCTACGAGACCTTACAAATGCCCACTTCCTACAACCTAATGATACTTCACAATTAGAAATTAACCGGGTAACCAAGCAAATCAATGATTTGCTTCTACACAAGATATACACACAAGGCAACAAGGTCAGCAAGACACTGGCATCAATGTTACAACACAAACTATCCCAATCAAAGATCCATTACTTACTATATATATATAATCCTCAAGATATCAACACAGATAGGTCCGTTTCTATAAATAGCTTTACAATCTGAAAGATAACCGCATACGCACCAACCAACATAAAAAGAGATACAACAATTTCTCTCTCAGATACATCTAACAACATTAACACCCCCACAAAAGAACTCCCTCATGGGTCCACTTTCCATAAATGAACTGACACAAATGATACAATCCTTACCTCACGGTAAATCGCCAGGTACCGGCTTTACGAATAATTATAATAAGACCTTTCATGCTACCCTAGACCCTCACCTAATTAAGACGCTGAACCACATAATAACAACTGGAGATATGCCACCAGAGATGCTGCTGGCGCATATTTCCACTTTACCGAAACCCGGAAAACCTACCAATAAACCTCAAAATTTACGACCCATTTCGCTGTTGAATAAAGACAGCAAATTTTTAGCTAAACTCTATGCCAATCGAGTTGCAGGTCTGATTCCCTCACTAATACACCCTGACCAGGTGGGATTTGTAACAGGTAGACATGGAGTGGACTGTACAAGGAAATTGTATAATTTATTCTACGGCTGGCGAACCTACTGGGAGCCCAGGGTATGCCTGTCTCTGGATGCTGAGAAAGCGTTTGACAGGCTACACTGGAACTTTCTTGGAGCTCTTCTATGGAAATTTGACTTTCCCTCACAATTTCTATCATTACTCTTGGCACTTTACTCTAAACCTTCAGCAACAGTGGCAAATGGTGATTTTGTGTCAAATTCATTTGACATCTCGAATGGTACGCGCCAGGGATGCCCGCTATCCCCGATCCTCTAGATCCTTGCCCTAGATCCTCTGGCACAAGCAATAAGGGACAACAAATTGATCCAGGGTGTGAAAATCAGAGAAAAGGAATATAAAATTACTATGTTCGCTGACAATGTGATGCTATCCCTAACTAACCAAAGAAACCTCCATCCCAGCCCTCCGAACTATCCTTCAACAATTTAGTGACTGTTCTTATTATAAACTGAATACTATGAAGACACAAACAATGTGTCTTCATGCAACCCCATACGAATGGAGGCAAGATAGTCTTACCTTCTTAGGCATACAATTCACAAAACAGGTTCACAGCTTGTGCTGGGCAAATTATATCACGTATCTAAATACATATCTTGAATGGGAAGAATTGCTGCAGTGAAAATACTAATTCTTCCCAAACTCCAGTATCTGTTCCGCAACCTGCAGATAAAATTACCAACAACGTTTTTTAGGGATGCTCAGAAAACCCTAAATATTTATGGGCATATAAAAAACTTAGAATAGCTGCCAGGATTATGAACCTCTCCTATAGGCAAGGAGGCATGGGATTGCCAAACCTTATTACATGTTACAGGGTGTACATACTCAACACTCTAGTTATAGCACTACATCAGCATGCAACACCAGTCCCTTGGACGATATTGGAAGCAGAAAACAGTGAGGGCCATAAAATAACATCCCTGGCCTGGATACCACAATGCCATTGAAAGAAGTATAAGGACATTTTGCCAATAACTTCCTTATCATTGAAGGAATGGGATAGATATACCATGACACACAATCCCAAAACAACCCTTTCACCAGCATTGCTAATCCAATCATTTACAGCACTAATGGCCCAAACATGGTCTGACATACCTTCATCAACTGTTGGACTGTGGTGAGCTTACACCATTTAAGTCACTACAAAGCATATGTAACCTCCCCACTTCAGCAGAATTTGCCTACATGCAAATCAGGTTGTGGAAAAATAAAGAGGCTCTCCCTACAATTGTAAATAAGGGCAAATGTCAGGGTTGGAGACTCTATGCCTGTGCATAACAAAACAACAAAAAATAATGTCCACTCTATATAATAGTTACTACCAACCACCACCTGACATACACAGCTACCCCTTGTGCAGTTGTGGGAAAAAGAGCTGGGTACAAAATTGCCGGATGAGATGTGGACACAAATCTGTGCAAACAAAAAGTTTATGCTGTGCACTTCGCATATTGAGATTGCATGAAAAATGCTCTATTGCTGGTATTTAGTTCCAACTAGAATGAAACAACTAGATCCTAAACAATCAGGAACATGCTGGAGGTGTGAGCAGTGCCCCGGCACTATGCTCCATATATGGTGGACATGCCCTACTTGAGAAACTCTGGGCAGATACACATAGTTTAATATGAGATGTTACAGGTACCACCCTACCACGAATCCTGGACATTTTTCTACTACAATTTATGCCAACCCACTTACCAAAAATGAAAGGAGCACTATAGGGTTAGGAACACAAACATGTATTCCTGACCCTATAGTGTTAAAACCACTATCTAGCCCCCTGGCCCCCTTTGCCTCCCTAAAGATAGTAAAATCTGTTGTATAATCCTTCTCTCACCACCAATACTTCCAATTGGTATCCTTTTGAGAGAAATCCACTCTGCGTTGTGTATTAATAGTGAATGTAAAATCCCTGTGTCACCTCTTCCAAGAACTAACATTTATCTTTATCCCCTTGTCCAGATAAATATACGACTAGCACTACTAAGGTATTCTACCCGATATTGCAAATAAGCAGCCAACCCATTTATGGGTTTTT